AGATCCCTGTAGGGATTCATTTAAATGAATTGACAATGCTTTATAACAGCCCCTAACGCATCCTAATGCATCTTCTCTTCCCTAAAACCCATCTTCACTTTTACCTAGATTAATGTATTAGAGTAATCCTATGTTTAAGATTTTACTTAGAGATATAACACCATCTTTTGTACTCTGTTAGCCCACATTCACCTCAAGGAACACAGTTTGTCACAACACGCCTGCAAGGCTGTGCTAGCGGGAGGCAATTGCGCCTTCCCTTACAGCATCCCCCTTTCTTTTTGAGTTTTAATTCCTCATAACTCCAGCAAATTATTTGCACATGGGTCAGTACTCTTCATGCTGGATTTCTACCGAAAGGCAATTTCACCAGAAACATTGAACATAATTGGTTTAGCTCTTCTTTTTTTTGTTGTTTAAGCTGTCTCTACCTACACCTGGCACACATTTTTCTTAGGCTATGAACGGAAAATTGGTGCTGACGTAACTGAATGATCTACCCGTTTCTGCTCTAAAACACAGTTCATGTCATAATTTAGTCCAAGATTTTAGTAACACACACCCCCCCACACCTATCTTGCATCCCTTGGAAGGGCACACACAGGCAGATTTTGCCAACTTGCAAGTTCTTGATCTACGCGGTCACAACTCCTAAAGGAAATAAAAAGCTGTTGCCTTGCAGAATGATTTATACAAATGCTTCTGAGTGGCCAAATCCAACAGATACTGTAGGAAATTTGAGGCAAACGGGTCCCCGGGGAAGGATGTGGGTGTGGTGACAGCGCCTTCCTAGAGGCTGATACAGAGAAACAATCACAGAGCTCAAAAAAAAATTCCTGTCCATGCTTCACTGGAACCAGATAAGCTGCTAAGAAACAAAAAACAAATGCAAAGGATACCACACTGTACTGTACATGTTGACCAATCTTATGTGTCAAGGCAAGTTTTCTAAGTTAACTCCTCACTCACTAAAGAAATCTTCTTTCCTCCTGAAATGAAGTGAACATTAAGTAGGATTTTATTGCAGCAGCGTTTTTGAGAGGGTTACATGCAACAGTGACCTTGCAAACAAGTCAAAGCCTAATATTCCAAAAGGTAATTCCTCCCTTGCTTTCTCTGAGCAACCCCATGGAAATTCCCTGCCCCTTATACACAAGGGCTTGTGAATTTGTTTAAATTTACACACCAAGGGAGATGAACTCACCTATTGACTTCAATTGTAACTGCACAGAACTACGTTTTCATCTAAGCAGTTCATGGTCCAAGGCAAAAGTTTATTTGCAAGTGATAAAACCCTTTAGAATATAGAATTTGAACACTTCTCCTCCCACCCCCCCAAAAAAGCCCCACAGATGAAGTCTACCACAGAAGTACACAGATTCTACAGAGGCATATCATGTCTCTGACCATCCCTCCTAAGATGTTCTGAACATTTTGAAGAGTACTACATAAAAAGAGGACAACTCCGAGCATGAGAAAATGCTTGCCATTAGCAATCTCAGTCTTCCAAACAACTAAATTTTGCTCTACTTCATTCTAATCCTGGCCTCCTTCCTACTGGCATTTCAGAAATAGCACCGTACAGTAGATTCTGTACTTCAAAAACTATTTTACTGAGTTGCGCTTTTCCACAAATATGATACAAAACATGATGCTTCTTGAGACATCAGGATGATTTCTTTCTTAAATTGCACACACTTGTAATACTGATTGAAGTGGATACGATCAGAAAGAATGCTCTAACGAGTCACATTTATTTTATTCAAGTTTACGCTTATAAAAAACACAAATCAGGTATGTCTACTCTCATATGTTACATAAAGAATATCTACGTTTTGCAGATATAAAAACAGCTAATATCTCATGAAGCATGCAAAGAACCCCTTTCCTTAATGACCAGTTACAAAACACTGTGGCAAACTTACAAAGACTTAAAAGCAACAAAGCTCTAAAAGTTGTACTTCATACTTCATTTGACTTATCAATAATCGATAAACAGGCTCTTTTTTTAGCCCAAGAAAGTAAAAAGAGAAGGATAAAGTTCTCAACCACATCAATGATTTTTCTAGCTAGTCTGATTTTGTAACTGTCATAGCAAAGACTAAGTTCTATACCTTTCTTTATCATGAAGTAAACACAGTATAAGGAACACAGCCCTTCTTAAATTCCAGAAGTTTGGCTGTGAGAGCCGATAAAACTAACAAGGGAGGATGAAGGGGAACAAGCAACTTAGAATAAGCGCTTTTGATGCCAAGTCTGTCATCTGTGATATTGACAGGTCATGCACGGACCTCATGGGATACTCTGAGTGTAATCACAGTAAAGAATCCATCGACATGGGTACAGTTAATATTTCTAAAAAATATTTTCTAAGTCAGTATTATAATTGTTTAAGAAAGAATTAAAGAGGAAAAGCATGGAATACACACGCAGACACACAAAGCAAGGATTGCAATGATCATCCCATACTATCCAAGGATACCCAACGCCTTACCACAACCTGAAATAGGGAACAAATTAAGACTTCATTACCTGTAGTGCAAAACTGCATTTTCCTCATCTTACTAAGCAAGTGTAACTTTGTTTGCCAGCATGAACTAAGCTTATGCCTATTTTTAAGGTTCCTTCTGTAACAAAAAGGTATCTAAATTATTTGATAAACACAGGATACTCTATTCTTTCTGGAGGAGGGAATTATTAAACAGAACAAACCAGCAAGCTCTGAAAGCGTGTTTCCTGCAGGGTCCACTAGTGTTGGCAGCTAGAGTTAAGGCTGCAAAGCAATTTCTATTATAATATTGTTTTCAGAGTTTGTAACTTTCTCAAATATTTACCTTTTTATTTGAAAGGTTCCACATTCATTCTGAGAACGCTCTCAATAAGCATTCGAACATCCTTTTTAAAAATGTGTGTTAAAAAAAATAATCACACTGTAAAAATGTGATCACTTTGGGACAATATAGCAGCAAGGGCACAAAGCTCTATACAATTCAATCTAAACCTTACACATCCCTTATTTGTTATAGCCTAGTTAGGCAGCGAAAATGGCTTTTGGGGGCAGGGGGCAAAGGAGGTGAATAGATTACATTTATACAGCTAGCAAACCGACTACATTCCTTTTTTTCTTCTGTTTATAATACACCTATGAATTGGCTAGTTTAAAAGCAAAACAAAACAAAAAAAAACTGAAGACATTCAATCCAAAACAATGAATTACAAACCAGCAGTCTTCCACCTGGAATTATTCAAAACCACGTATGGTCATATTTTTAAATGCAGTTCTCACTCTGTAACCTGATACCTATTCTCCTTTCTTATGATTGGCTGCTCCACAACGTACTGATTTTAGAATATGGCACTTGCAATCTGGTCTTGCAAACTAAATTGAGGCTATTCACATAAAGTGTGTGGACACTAAGAGAATGAAGCAAAGTTAGCTTGTATTTCTTTTAGCAAACAGCAACAGTAAAGTCAAATTAAAACATGGATACGTTTCAGACAAGACAATAACAAAGCGATACTCAAGTGGGATAATTACATTGTTAGCTAGAGTCTGTTTAGTTCAAACAGTAATAATACATTTATTTAGGCATGATTTTTGAGATTACAGGATGACAGAGCCTTGTATTACACATGCTCCTCAATTTCAGAGGGCATCAGAAAGAAAAATCCATTCCCAAAGCCAGAAGCACCTCTTCTCCCTGTCCATCCACCTTTTTTAAGGGCAGTGGCAAACAGAAAAGGAAGGGAAGGAGAAGCGGACAAAAACGAATAGAGCGAGGCAGCTTTTAGGCTTTAGAGAATGAAACAGAGAAGTTTAACAGTATCCAACCCACTCCTGGACTACTAAAGGACTTCATGAAGTAATTCTTCCTCTCCCACAGCAACAGCCCCAGAAGCCCCCGTCCCAGGACTTCAGCCACGCGGAGCTCCTCCGCACTGAGCTACGCAAAGAGGCGAGCCCTTGCTGCCTAGCGTTACTCACGCCCGAGAACAGATATTTTCACCTTCAGGAGTGAAAGCAAACCAACTTTCCCAAGACAAAAGACGAGAACTCCACAATGGAGAAAGGCAGGTCTTAGCAAAGAGAGACCCAACACACAGGCTGGCCACATGTGGCAGTTCAGTACAGCCTTCAGCGGTGCCTTCTTTTAATTCTTTCTCCTTAACTCAAGAGCTCTTTAAAGTAGCAGGGATCAGCCATTACCCACACAGTCACTTTCCAAGCCTACACTTCAGATTGTCTGCCCTTCCACTTCCAAGACCTACATCTTCTATCCTCCAGAGATAAGATGACAAATAGGGCAACACCCTATACAGCCATGAACAGTAAGCCATGTAAACTGAAGACAGCACTGACATGAAGCTTCAGCTACTGGGACTGCTCATGGAGAGTAATGCCTCAAAACCTTGTGGCTACATGGCTCTCAGAACTCCTTGGGAAGGCAAGAGGGCTTCTTCAGCGAGACTAAAAGGAGAGAAATATTACTGGTCTTGCCCCAGGGCATGTAAACCAGCAGTTATCATTAGGTAAATGATCTAGCCAGGCAACCGCAAACCATTAGTTTCTGTGGAAACACATCCATCATCATGCCGACAGAAACATAGCTAATCCAGCCCCTTAGTCCTAAACATTCTGCGTAAAAGACCATTCGACTTTCAAGCGTTCACCTTTATTTTCCCCTTGCTCTTCCCTCAAATCCAGCCATCAGTCGGTCTTAATCAGAAGAGGGTTTATAAGAGCTGACAAGTTAAAAAAGATTCTTTGTTTTTTAAGCCAAGAGAGTCGCACTCAGGAACCCTCCTTTTGAATTGCACTGAACAGCCTATTTTCCTCTGCTGTCAGAGCCGCCTCTCGCCAGTGCTGTGCAGCCGCCAACAAACACCTTCTCTTCACTGTGCATTTCTAAAACTGGCTTACGTGTCATGCACTTTGAACCGCAACTTTCAAAGAAAACCTCTAGAACTGCATCCAACTTGTCCTGGGCGCAGAAAGGCACGGTACAACATCAATCTGCTTGCATACAATGAGCAAGACACCGTCCTGAAAGCAGCAGTGTGTTGCCTTTGGTCCGAGGAAGGAATGCGACGAGAACAGAAACAGAACTCAGGTCAGTTTTGTTTACCCTCAGAGCCAATTTTAGTAACATTTTCATGCAACAGGAACAATAACGTATTCAACTATAAATATTGCTTCAGAAGTAAAACTAAACTTTTTCTTGTAGCTGAACTTCAGGTACTAAAAAGTGGCAGAACTACTCAACATACAGCTCTTCTGTGAGGGTTACTCAAAAGGGAACACAAAGGTTAAGTGCAAAATTGCTGCAGAAGAAAGCACCAGGCAATAACAAGATTACAAATACATTACAGAACAACTGCACTACTTGATAGTTATTGTAACTAGCCTATACAAGTCACTTCATAGATCAATGAAAAAACATCACTAGAAAGCACTTTTGAGCAGAGGCGCATGTTCAACTATAAAACCAAGGATTAAAAATGTCTGCTAATTATGCTGATTCACATCAGGTTCAGAAAAGAACCTCTCACTGATAAAGTCGCCAATACTATGCACGTGAAACGGAACATGCACAGCAAGAAATTATTAACTCTCAGAGCACAAAATAATAAAAATCAGATATAAAAGAAGCTTCAGCAATCTGATGTTGCACTTCCTTCTAGGCTTCCTGTTGTAAATATGCAATTGCTGCAATAAAAGTCCTTAGAAAAAAAGTGAGTCACGTCAAACAAAATAATCAACATCATAATGATTAACAAAGAATTGGCACATACCTTCCAGTACAAAAGCATTTTTCAAAGGTAAATGCTTTTAAAATGAAACTAAAATTACCAAAATGATTTACAATTTTTTTTTTTTAACAAATTTTGCAAAACCAATATGTGTAACGTTTTCCACAGTTAAAAAAAATCTCAAGTATGAGAATCATCTTATAATACATTAACCATTTTGTAAATCAAAAAATAATTTAAAAAAAGAAATCAAAAAAACATAGCTGTAAGAGATTTCAGGAACTCTGGAAGGATATTTTATTAACAAAAGCAAAACGTTTTCTTAATTCACTGAATTAAGAAAAATCTATCCCTAACAACAAACAGAAACATACCTTTTTCACTATCGCAGTATTATGGAAATGGTCTTCCTAATGCTTTTAGTACATACACACACACAGAATTAAAGGAAGGGAAGAGGGGAAAGAAGGTGGCCACATGGCAGCCATCATCTTGTTAAATAAAAAGAAGAATTGTTCTCTGCAATGAGGAAGATCTTTACGAGTATTGCTGCAGCATAGCTCCTTGCTGTAGGTATGTTAAACAAAAAAATGCCCACAACAGAAGAGGGGATATCCCGATAGGACTGAATTACCAACGTTGTGCAGGAGCACTACTCTTCTACGCTCCCAGGAACCGGCACAGTAACATGCAAAGTTCTCACAACATTAGAGTGATTTTGGTTCTCCCCATTTTGAGAATACTCATGGCTAACAGCACAAAGGCTAAAGTAACTAAATTCCTAGAAGCTATGCTAACAGCCGCTTCCGAGAGACAGAAAGTTCATTCTGTAACACTGAAATCATCCAAACGCAGCATCTGAGGAGAGCATGGGATAGAGAAAGCACCTGACATAAGTAAGGTGGAAGAGTCCACGACAACCAAGAGCACGCTAAGAAAACACAGGGGGCATGTCGCGCACAACCAGATTTGACGAAAAAAAGGATTTGCAGAGGAGGGCCGTGCCCGTCGGGCTGTGCGCCGCACAGCGACCCCCAGGCCACCAACAGTGTCCCTGTTTCAGGAGTCCTTATTTTTCCTATTTAAAAAAAAAAAGTGAAATTGTCACCTCCGGTTCCCTCCACCCTCCCTAGCACAACAGCACTGTGAAAGAAGATCAAAGAACTTTATTTCCCTGCCGTCTAGCATGCTGGCAGGACTTTCCTCACCTTTCCCTGCCTCCCCCCGAGATCAGTGTAGTTTTGCAGCTAACAGCAAAAACAGTCAGGACCCACCTCGGGAATTTTTCAGCAGCACCCTGAACTTAAAGGCAGTCTGAGGGAACAACGGAAAAGAATATTCCCCCCCATGTGACAGAAGTTAAAAAAAAACAAAACACATACCGGTATAGATATTACCGGGTTGGGGGGGAAGTCCTACAAAAATATATAGCGTTGGAAAAAATCTAGGTATTTACAGTGAGGAGCACAACGTTACTGCAGCCCCGAACAATGGGAAGAAGCAGCAGT